TCCCTCAGTTTCAATCTGCGATAACTGAATAGTTTTTGGCCACTTGGGGGGGCAGCGAAACCAAGCTGACATATTATCACTTAATAAGTGGATAAGGGGAAGTTGTTAGTAGACAGTTGCCTATTTACACATCCAGCAGATTAAGAGCAACACTAGATTACATTGGGAGTTACTGTGACAAATATAAGTGTCCAATATTTGTTATTGCATAACTACATTAATTGTGGTTGACTGATTTGAAACTGTTTGCACCAGCAAGTTTGGAGCCTGAAATGTCGTTATAGCTGACAGGAATATTACCCAAAACTACCTTTGAATGAATCATGTTGCTATTTTTATCAGTCATACTAAAAAGAATGGCCATCTTCTATTCCTTTCAGGTTCATCAAACATTTGGATCGCGGTTACAACTCTTGTGCCAGAACAGACCTGTTCTTCACTCCACTTTCAGCCTCCAAGCTGGCCAAGAAAAGGGAGGAGGCTGTTGAAAAGTCCAGGAGAGAAGCGGAGCTCAGTGCTCGACAAGAACGCGAAAGAGAGAAAGACCGAGAGAGAGAAAGGGAGGCAGATAGAAATGCTGTGAGTCATTCATTCTTTTATTAAACATCGTCTCTGTCATAATCATGTTTGAGTTGTCTCACACGCTGTCTTTGCTTCCAGAGAGCCTCCAGCTCCTCCCACGACAGTCGTATGAGTGATGTTCAGATGACGGTTCAGGTCCACGGACGCCACTCCTTTGAGCAGCCGCCCACCACTGTCGCCGCGGTGCCCCCCTACATTGGCCCTGATACACCAGCTCTGCGCACCCTGAGTGAATACGCCCGACCCCATGTCATGTCGCCCTCCAACCGCAACCACCCTTTCTACGTGTCGCTGAGCCCTGGCGACCCCTTGCTGGCCTACCACATGCCCGGTCTGTACAGCGCTGAGCCCAGCCTCAGAGAGCGCGAGCTCAGGAACCTGCGAGAGAGGGAGCTCCGAGAGAGGATGAAGCCCGGCTACGAGGTCAAGCCCCCAGACATGGAAACGTTACACCCCTCGGCCAACCCCATGGAGCACTTTGCCCGACACGGGGCGATAGGTCTGCCTCACATACCCGGGCCTCCCCACCACTTCGCAGCCTTCCATCCCGGGCTGAACCAACTGGAGCGGGAGAGGATAATGCTGGCAGGACATCAGCTGCGCCCTGAGATGGGTTACGCAGAGCGACTCACTGCGGAGCGGCTCCACGCAGAGAGGATGGCATCTGTGGCTTCAGACCCTGCTGCCAGGCTGCAGATGCTCAATGTGACGCCGCACCATCACCAGCACTCTCACGTTCACTCACACCTCCACCTGCACCAACAGGATCCCCTCGGTCAAGGTGAGTTTGGACTGATTGGCTTGATGGCTTTTGAGAAGTGAATTAGTCAGTTGATGTATCTGGTGGTGAGAAGTTGACCTGCATTTACCGTTTGATTTTATTTCTTTATCCAGGTTTAAGCCCTCATCCTCTGGACGCCCTGGCACCAGGACCACGTCTGGCCCGGTTCCCCTTCCCCGGCGGCCCAATCCACAACCCGTTACTCAGTGATCTTCCTCATGATCATGAGATGCTGCGCCACCCAATGTTTGGTTTGTAATCTCAACTCACAGCCTACAACTTGAGTATCTTTTTGAGTCCAGTTCCTCCAATTTGGTCTTTCTGTATCTGTGTTTTCCAGCTGCATATCCCAGAGAGCTGCAGGGCCACATTCCTCAGATGTCTGCTGCTCACCAGCTCCAGGCCATGCATGCTCAGTCTGCAGAGCTGCAGAGGATGGCTATGGAGCAGCAGTGGCTGCATGGGCATCACCTGCATGGAGGCCCTCTACCGAGTCAGGAAGATTATTACAGGTGAGGATTTTCAATGTCTCATCTAGTGCACAGGCTGAAACAATTTACTTTAGGAATAGACCAGAGAGTAAAGAATGTGTTTCCGTGATTAAAAGCATCACATAAAATACTTTTAGTATTTGTGCAGTGGTCACTTGCTCCACTATGGAGACAAATCATTCCACATTGCTCAGTTAAACTAAAATGTGTTTCCTTGTTTCTTTTCTCTGAAGCCGTCTGAAGAAAGAAGGTGACAAACCATCTTGAGTGCCAGGTGGTGCATGCCCTGAAACCCTACACTCATACCCAATAGAATACTAATAATAATAGAGTACTTTTTAAGACTTTAAGAGAATATTTGTGTCTTTTTCTTTTGTTTTAATATATTTTAGAGAAATCTTTGTGGATCTTTATGTGCATTCCTTGTTCAGCACTTAATGAGACTGTCAAAGTCCGTCTGAGATTTTCATATCGCTTAAGACTTCATACTAGTTTTATTATCAAAATAACGAACAATCTCACACATTCATGTGAGATTTAAAATGACAGATTTTCTCTAACAAACTGTTAAACTGTTTCATACGCAGTGATATGAATTTGCTAAACTATAGCTCTTATAAAGGATGTGAAAACTGACTGACTTCGGTCCTAAGTTTAAATATCTATCTATGATTTCCTTGTACAGAATAACATTTAAATCTGTGTCTGGATGATTGTAACGACCTAGCATGACTCAACCTTCATTTTTCACCAAACTAGAGTAGCAAGTTGCATTGTGGTGTTTAGACTTTGAAAGCATAGTAGAGGTTGGTTTTACTCTTAAATCTGCTAAATATTTGTCTAAATCCTAAAGTTTTATATATATCAAGATATCTTTTCACAGTATAACCGAAGCTTTTATTCGCTCATTTTTGAGATTGTAAATATTACATGTTCACAATATTCTATATGAATGAGTACTATTGATATAGCAGTAGACGTGAAAACTTGACCCTCGATTCAGCACGATAGCATTAAATAAATCATAAGCTAAAACAGTATATAGTATTATAAGGCGAGACAATTGTTAATTGGACCATGATCTGTCACTACAGACAGAAAGTTTTATTAAAATAATGTATTTACATCATTTTTAATGAGAGTAAATGAATTGGAGAGACACTAAATCTGAAGCATTTTAATGAATTTTTAAAAGAACGGCCTTTGAATTCAATATTTATGTGACATCATTTGAAAGTGTATCCATTGCATATTTATTTCAATAAATATTTCTGCAATGACACCTTATCCTCTTTGCACTTGGAGTTCCTCTGAAACAACAGCCTGTGGTATTACCAAGTTATTAGGTACACCTTGCGAAAACTAATGCCGTCTATTACAACAGTCCAACAGTACATTGTACCTTCATGGAAGTTATAATCAGTTTTTGTTGGTACTGTTTTAGAGAGATTGTGATATAAGTGTATGGTCATGTTGGAGGATATAGTGTCTGGTGCTGTTGAACTGAATTGCATTGTACCGACAGTTGTTTCTGTTATTTTGTCCACCCCGTTAATATCAATAAGGGCTGCATAGCAGGAACACCTATTTGTGTAATATAATGTTTTAAACTGCATTGATTTTAGCTAGGTGTACTAAATAAGCTGGCAAAAGCGTGTGTGTGTATATACTGTGTGAAAATGACAGTATAGGTTCATGTTAGCGCTGCTTCTTCCTGCACACATCAACTTAGATAGAGAGGAGCGGGATGTATTCATGACTTTTTTGCATTAAATCACTCATTGCACAAAATCTGTCATATATGTAAAATCATATGTACCCAGTCAATCATTTTCACAAAATGTGACAGCCCCAGCAGCAGATCATGTACGGGTAATACATAAAAGCATCCGAGACAGCAACACATACGGGATATTATGTCAATTTTATTTTACTAATATATATAAAGGCAAATATATTAGCTTTTCTTCAAGCTTACATTTTGTATCAACACAGGATGTGACGCTGGCCTTTCCACTACACAGTATCTTAGTACAGTGGGTAAAATCTGCTACACAGAGTTACATTCTTCTCTGTGTAGTTTAATGCGGTATAGTTTTACTACTCCAGACCTGGCTGACATTATTCATATCGAATGGTCTCAAAGTGGAAAACCATTCTGAACTGCTCACAACTCGTGCAGCCTGTGATGACGGGTCATAAGTAGACATAGCTTTGTGTTAACAGGGCTCAAAGCCCAAAAGGTTTGGGAACTACTTAGACGATGCTTACCCATAAAGCACAGCTCATGCTACTCACTTACTAAACCTTTTCTTACAACATACATACAAATCAGACCAATATCTTTCAACAAAACAACTTTCTTAAAGTTGAATCCCCTCTTTCATGCTCTACAAACACGCCCCACAAACACTGCTGAAGAACTCTACAAGCTGCCATTATAACTTAGCTTGATGACGTACAAAGCCGTGACATTCACAAACGGCACGTGTTAAAAAAGTATGAGCTTCTGTGCTTACATAATGGTCCACATCAACGTCAGTTTAACTAGAGCTGATAAATCAAAAGTTATTCAAATGTTTACATATTTAAAGAATAAGTCTGGTGATAAGTTATATTTTTCTTATTGTCAACAAATCCAATGAAAAGACCAAACCCATCTGTGTTAGTCCATCCCTCAATACTTTCCATCTGTACTGTGGCTCTCCACCCCAAGCCAATTTGTTCCTATTGGGTCTCGTATATACTGATTCAATTAAATAAGAAATAAAAAAAAAAATAAAAAATCTCAACAATTTCCTTAATCAACTGGGCACTATAGTTTTTAGCAAATGTAACCATTTAGGATGATGTGTGTCTGAGCGAGTATTTTTTTAAATTATGTTGTCTGCCGACAAATGTGACGTATACATTTTTACCTATGCTAAAAATATGCGCTTCAACATGTCTCTATATCTATATTTTAGAATATTATATTATTATAGTGGTAATATTATTATATTATAGTATTGCAAGTAAGCGTTTTAGCACATTGAATACT